ACACGCGGAGTGGATAAAAGTGGGCTATAAAAAAAAATCATTTAAAAAAATAAAAGCCCCCCCCTCAAGGCCCCGTCTTCCAGAATCTGTTGTAACAGATTCGCCCAAGCTGGTTAACGGTATTTGCGGTTTGCAAGATGCTACACGTCCCTGGAAAATGACAGACAACCTATTATCACCTCTCCACTCTCCTCCTGTCCAAACCTGCCCATGCCGGGCACCCAGCTGCCGGGGAGCGGGTGCGAGGAAATTAACAGCCACGGAGCCTCGCCTGCCACCCGCCACCCTCTCGCCTGCCACCCCCGCGCCAGCCCTGCCAGGCCCCGGGCTCCCAGCCAGACAGGGCCCGTCGAGGACTCTAATGGGGGGAGGGTCCTGTGGGGGAGGGCAGGGATGGGCAGACACCAGCATTTGGGCAAACCGTTTCCTGCAAACACGAAGGGATACATGCATCTCGGGGCAGGCAAGTCTGGACGGCTCTGTGTCTTGTGTCCCGAGAATCATAAGATCTGGCCTCAGAATCTGTTGAAACATCCATCTTTGGTTCCAGGGAAGGAGGCAAGGGAGGAGGAGAGGCGTCAGTGGTGGCCTACATGGGCCACTATACTGTGGACTTAGGTTGATCTTCACCTCCCCACACACCATGCCTGATCCCCAGGAGCTACTCTTGGGAGGAGGGAAAGAACTGTGGGGGGTGGGCTCCAGCCTTCTTACACCTGGCACCCCACCACAACCCCACCCTGCCCCACGCCTCCCCCCCTCCAGGCCCCCCTCCCTTCCCTGTAATGTAGCTGTGCCCCTGCAGCATGCTGAAGTGTGGGGAAGCCTCAGGCATCCTCCGGCCTGCAGGTTCTACCAGGACCGGTGCGTTTGTTCTGTGGCCCCTCAATCCCCACGCAGGGTGAAAATTTGTAGTGTATGTGTGCCCACGAGCCATATTATCAATCTTGCTTGGCACTAGACTAGGGACTTGCCACCCCCATTAGTGGGAAATGAGGACAGGCCCAAGGCTGGGGGTGGCCCTGCCAGGGAAGCAGACCGCAGAAGCCCGAAAAGGGGCCCTCTCTCCTCGCCCACCACACATGACGGCTCCCTGCAGCTCCCAGCCCAGCTGGTCATCCGGCGCGGGCGTTACCCACGGACAGCTCGGCTCACTCCCAGACGGGGAATCTCTCCACCGCCCCTCCGTCCCCGCCCTTCCTCCACCCCGCGCCGACCACGTGTCACTTTTCCTGGGACCTCCTGCGGCCCCCTGACACGGAGAGCACCCCCGGGCGCCCCCATCCCCGCCTGCCGGCCACGCGCCCCTGCGTTTCCCCCGGACCTCGGGGCCTCGGTCCCGCGTGCCCAGACTTGGGCACCAGAGCGCCCCCGCCTGCGCAAGCCACAGGGCCTGCAGAGGAGGGCTCACAAAGTCTCCGCTGGTCAGGGGCCTTGAAGCCCCGCCCCACTGTCAGGACAGACCTGCGGGGCTGCACCTGGAGTCCTGCTCCCTCCCTGCTGGCTGATGAGCCAAGGCCCCTGGGCCTTGGGGGGCCAACAGACCCCATCTCAGGCCGTGGAGGGATCACGAGGTGAGAGGACTTACTGATGGGAGCCGCTGGGTAGTCGCCCCAGAGAGGGGACTGGAGGGCCTGCTCGCAGAGGGGCGGGGAGCCATCCGGCCTGGAAGTGACACTGCACACTGGGCCATGGCCGGACGGCTCAAGGGTGTTAAGTGTGGTCAGCCAGTGGGCCGCCTGCCCAGCCTGGGAGAGGTCTGTCCAGTGGAGTATAGCATCCCGCTGACAAGCACCAGAACCTGGGGGCCAGGCCTCAAAGGCCATTCTCCTCCTGAAGCTTTCAGGCGGGAGCCTCCAGTAAGTCCAAATTCTTCTGAAAGCTGAAGGGGCCTCTCAGCCCATTTTCTTTCGTGATTCTGGGGCCTGGCAAACGATAGGCACCCCACAAACACTGCTGCAGGGATGGCCCTCTGGACCCCGGTTGCCCCTATCATTGGTTCTGTTCGGGTCCCTGCAGGCCAGCCGGGGCTCACAGTTCCTGGGGGGCCTCCTCCATCAGGAAAACCCCCTAGGTGACTGCTCGCTTGCTGAGCCTCTCCGAGGGCCCTCCAGGATGCTTGCCTGGCAGCTCCCTGCCTGAAACCACCTGCACACTTGTCTGAGAGCCGGGGACCTGTTCTGAAGCCTCACTGTGGGTCGACAAGAGAGCGGGGTGCCGAATGGGTACCCGGTGTCTGCTTTGGGCCGGGCAGGCTGCTGCTGTCCTGGGCAGGGGCACCCAGCTTATCCCCCAAACTGGTGCTTCGGGGAGTGAAGGGGCAGCATTTGTACTGATGAGGACATCGGAGATCAGCAGTCACCCCCTGGGAAGCAGGACTGAGCCCCACAACAAGCAGGTTGCCCCCACTCCGTGAGCCCTGTTTTCTGCTCTTCCCAGAAGGGCCTCAACAACCCCCCCTCCCCAGGGCTGTGTGTGATCATTCTTTCCTGCACTGTAAGCAGGTCTGGGGACTCTGCTTCTCGCCAGAGGTGGGGGTCCCAGGTATGGGGTGGCAGGCTGCACCGGGCTCCAGGGAGCCTGGCGAGTGGGAGGGGGCGGTGAAGCCCACGGCATCCAGTTTCCTTCTGTGACGGGGGTGTGAGGGGCGGGTACTGAATTCAGCGCCAAGGGAAAGTTGAACAAGGTCCAACACCCCGAGAATGCCTTGAACTCCACCCCAGGGATGGGTGTTTCCAGGAGGGAGCCCCGTTCAGCTCATCAGGGGAGGGATGGCTCACACTGTGGGGCCAAAGGATGTGAGGGCACCGGGGACCCCCTGCTCTGGGGCTCTGGGTAAGTTCCATCTCCCTGTTTCCCACCCCTTGCTTTTTGTACACTTGGAGTAGCTGAGGGTCCATTGTGTCCCTTGGTGGCCAGAGGGGGGCACTCTGGAGGCCAGTGGGGGCCTTACCTTAGCAGTGTGAGGGTGTTGGGGGCCCCCCAGCTTCCTTGGCAGAAGCGGGCTGTGACCTGCCCCTTCTCTGGCTCTGTCATCCATGTGTCCGGCCTCAACTGCCCTGACTCTAGCATGGTTGGTACACTTCCCGCTGTGAACCGTGAGCCCCAGCCTGTGGTCTCCAGTCCCCTGTGGTGACCGGACCCCAGCTGGGAGCCTGTCTGAAGCGGTGTCTCCTGGTACAGTACGGTTTCTCTGACCCCACCATGGTGGGGTGTGATGGGGCAGTCTCCGGACTTTGTGTCTGGGGTGACTCCAGGTCACCGGGGATTTGTGGGGGGGGCAGGGAGATTGTGGGGTGGGGCCAGGAACCTGAGACCAGGAACACTGTCCCTGGGGGAAGGAGGCATGAGGAGCCCCAGACGGGTCTGCCCAGAAGCCAGTCAGCTTGGAAACTAGTGGCTACCCCTGTGGTCACCAGCAGGGTCTCCTGTGAACTCATGCGAGGGTCCTTGGGTGGGCGACCTGGTCCCCCGGCCACTGCCCCCAGAGGCCCCTGCCAGGGTCAGGAAGGGCATCATCTGACCCTCCCTAGGACCGGGTCCCTGGGCTGCAGGTACTAGAGCTTTGAGGTCCCCGGTGGCCCATGCCACGCTGCAGAGCTCAACCCCTCAGACTCAATGTTTCACATTCTTCTTCACTCGATTGAGAAACATATCTGAAAAACACTATAAAACTTCCTATTTTTAAAGGGTAGGCTTTGCAAGCGCTCTTGCTGGGCCCTGGGGGCCTACGGTTGACAGCGATGGGGCTGTGGGTGGGGAGGAGCCGGGCTCGACAGGGCACCCCTGGCTCCCAGCCCCCACTCTCCATCAGCTTCCCCCTTCCCCGGCCTTTCCTGGCCTCACCCGTGAGATGGACGTAATGGTACCAACCTCTCCAGCCAGCGATGGCGGGATGAAAGCCGTCTGCTCTCCCTGTGCCCAAAGCGGCCGGTGCTGCCGAGTGGGAGAGGGGATGCGGGGAGGGGCGAGACTCCTGGCTGGGGGTGGGGTGCAGTTGAGCGAGGGTGCCGAGCCGGGGCCTCAACCCTGCCCCCCGATCCCCACCAGTACTCCCCGCTGCTGAAGAAGCTTTACTGCCAAATCGCCAAGACGTGCCCCATCCAGATCAAGGTGTCCACCCCGCCGCCCCCGGGCACCGTCATCCGGGCCATGCCCGTCTACAAGAAGGCAGAGCACGTGACCGAGGTGGTGAAGCGCTGCCCCAACCATGAGCTCGGGCGAGACTTCAATGAAGGTGAGGCCCCCGGCCCCGTGCCCAGCAGCCAGGGCACCCCGGGAGGGAGGGCTCGCCTCGGGCGTCCGTGATTAGAGACGGCAGGGGCTGACAGCGTGGACCCGGCAAGTCCCCTCCCCGGCCCCTTCTCCTCCCAGCTGTACCTGGGGCCTGGGGTGCAGGTGCCCAGGGGACAGTGGTCAGCAGCGATGCTGGGCCAGGCACCCTGAGGGCATCAGGGCTGGTGGCCCGAGCCCCACCTGGGAGGCTGGTGGGGCTGGCCTTTGCGGTCCCCAGTCTGCTGCGCTGTGCCTGGCACAGGGGTGACCGGGCCCCGGCCGGGCAGCCCCCTGAAGCGGTATCCCCTCCCGGCAGGACAGTCTGCTCCGGCCAGCCACCTCATCCGCGTGGAGGGCAACAATCTGTCACAGTACGTGGACGACCCTGTCACGGGCAGGCAGAGTGTCATGGTTCCCTACGAGCCCCCGCAGGTAGGTGGGGGCCCCTGCAGTTGGCCACGAGGATGAGGGTCCGGTCACGGAGCACTCATGTCACTTCAGATGGCCAACCCACTGTCCCCAGGGCCTCCGGGTTAAGTCTTGCTGTGGAGCAACTTCTTCACCTCCTGCCCCCACCCCCAGCCCCTGGCGCCTGGCACTCATTTCTGGTCACTTCTGTGCAGGTCTAGGTGGGACCCCCCTCGGCCTCTCTGGCTACAGGAGAGAGGCCTGGAGATGAGGGTCCCGGCCAGAGGTGGGCGGTGGGCGGGGCGGAGAGCTGTGGGCGGGGCTCTGCTGTGACCTGAAGGCAGCAGAAGGTTCTGGGGCTGCTGTGAGGGCCCAGCCAGAGAAGCTGGGGGTGGAGCCAGGTGGGGGTGGGGGGCTGAGCAGTGACGGTGGGTTGGGGGTGGGCCCCAGTTGGGCCCGTGGGCCATGCTTCCACGGGTGAGGGGGCACAGCGAGCCCCACCTTTCTTCTACCTGGCTCTGACCCCTAGACTCCCCAAACTGTGATCAGTTCCCCAGACCCCCAGGCCCCAGCCCTGCACCTGGCCCCTTAAACCCCCAGCCCCCAGGAAGGGGTGTGACCACCCTGCCCTCCCTCCTCCCTTGCCCTACGTCACCTGCCAGGAAAGCAGGGCTCTCCTGCCCCCTGGTGGCTTCTGTGTGCCAGCAGTTTGGTGAAAGGCCAGGTTTGCCTAAGCCAGTGACTGAGTTTTATATCCTGACCCAGGGAGACCATGACACCTGCCCATTTTGTGGTCCTGGGATGCCCAGGAGTCAAGAGCCCTGGATTCCTTGTGCAGCTGTCCACAGACTCCCTGGGAAATGGACACATGTGCTGGAGATGGGGGTCCACTCAGATGGCTCTGGTCCCTGTCTCTGCCAGAGCAGTGCCATTCACCTTTCTGCCCACAAGAGCCTGCAGCACGCAGAACACACCTTTGTGCCCACAGAGACCTGTGCACATGCCCGCTCACACCCAGCCTCCAGGGCTTGACCTCCAATCTATGTTAGGAGAGGTGGTTGGGGCAACCAGACCACAGGACTTTGGGCCTCCGAGAGCCGGCACAGAGCATGGCACTCAGTGTAGTGCATGATTGGGTGGGTAGATGAGAGGTATAAGTGGATGAGTGGTTGGAAGGAAGGAAGGAAGGATGGATGGATAGAAGGATGGATGGAAGGAAGGATGGGTGGATGATGGATGGAGGTGGGTCAATGCATGCAAGTGAATGGCTGGATGGAGGGGTGGGTGCACAGTGGATGCATGGAGGTGGACGGAGGGGCGCATGGTTGGTAGACGGCTGGATGCCACAGGACCACAGCGCAGGGGACTGCCTCTCCCCCAGGCCCACCTAGAGTCGCGGCCTGGCCCAGAAGCACCCGCCGCGGAGGGTGGGGCCTGCATGCTGATAGCACCGCTTCCTCCCCTCTCCCGTGTGTAGGTGGGGACAGAATTTACCACCATCCTGTACAACTTCATGTGCAACAGCAGTTGTGTGGGGGGCATGAACCGGAGGCCCATCCTCATCATCATCACCCTGGAGACCCGGGAGTGAGTCTGCTGGGCTCGTGGGGGCTGGGGGGAGGGGTGGACGGGGACCTGGGGCGGTTTTGCTGGGGGCTCGGCATGCAGAGGGGCAGGGTGAGGAATGGTGCTGGCGCTGGAGGTGAGTTTCAGAGGGGGGGCTCCCCCTGGCTGCGAGGGCTGCCGGAGCAGGGCCTGGGATTTGGGAGGACGCAGGGGACCTGGTGTCTCAGAGTGGCTGTCTCAGAGGTCCCCTGGTTCCTCAAGACCCCGCCGTGGGGGCTGAGGTGGGTGGCGCAGGCCCCCGAGGCTCACGGTTCTGGCCGTGCCCGCCCCGCCAGCGGACAGGTGCTGGGCCGCAGGTCCTTCGAGGGCCGCATCTGCGCCTGTCCCGGCCGAGACCGCAAGGCTGACGAGGACCACTACCGCGAGCAGCAGGCCCTGAGCGAGAGTGCGGCCAAGAACGGGGCCGGCAGCAAGCGCGGTGAGTGGCCTGGGCTGGGGCGTGGGGGCCGCCTGGGACTTCAGGGCCGAACGTGCCTCGATGGGCGTGAGCCACGAGGCTGCCGGGGCTCCGGCCCCATCCAGCGTGGGCCCCGCCTTGGGTTTGCCCCTCTTGAATGGGCTACTGGTCTCTGGGCCCATCCACGCCGCACGCTGGGTGCCAGGGGTCCTGTGGCTTGATCTGCAAGTGGCCTGCCTCCCCTGCCTCCCCTTGCAGCCTTCAAACAGAGCCCCCCGGCCGTGCCCGCCCTGGGCACCAACGTGAAGAAGAGGAGACACGGGGACGAGGATGTGTACTACATGCACGTGAGTGTCCTCCGTCTGTGACGCCCAGGCTGGGGCGGCCGGGGAGGACGCCACGGGCCACCAACTCGTCGCGTTTTCTAGTTCTCCGAGAACGATCTTAGCCCCACGTCTGTTGGGGGTGCAGAGCCCCGGGGAGGGGAGGAATGGTGGGCGCTCACGGGGTCCCGGACCTGCTCCTGGGGAAGGGGGGAGAAGGGGTTCCGGGGAGCCCGGCGGAAGAAGGGGCGCCTCGCTGCACGAGCACCTGTGCAGAGGGTCCCCCGGTGTGTGCTCAGGTGCGGGGCCGAGAGAACTTTGAGATCCTGATGAAGGTCAAGGAGAGCCTGGAGCTGATGGAACTGGTGCCACAGCAGCTCGTGGACGCCTACCGGCAGCAGCAGCAGCAGCTTCAGAGGCCGTGAGTGCGGCGCCCCGAGCCCCGGGCCCCCTACGCCCCCAGGCACCGGGACCCCCA